ATCGATTTAGTGATATAGTATTTGGAAGATTCAAATAAATACAGGCCCCCCTTTTTATTTACATTCTGGTCCAGTGTGATCTACGTATAAAAATTTCACAAATGACTAAACAGAAAGGTTTCTCGGTTTCCCAGCTGGCCGCCCTATTCTGTATAAGTCACCAGAGGGCAGCAAAATACAAGGGGAAGAAAAAACGTATGGGCTCCTGTGCTATTGTTACTTTAAAACCTGTGATGTAGCTTAAAAGCACACTATGCTGCCTTTATAGGTTTTAAACATGTCGACGGGTTAAAGATGGTTAATAAAATTTTACTTTGACATATTCTACGCAGCAGTGTTGGTGCAGACTATACACACCCCACCGCAGAACAGACAGCAGAAAACGTAAACAGCCTCTCTGATTGGTGGATTCAAATTTAGCAGTTATGTAAGCGAATACATTTACTATCAACAACAGATATGTCTGTATAACATTAGGCTACTGGTTGGTCATTAAATAACATGTACAACTAAATTCAGTGATCTGCGAGTAAGAAAAACTATCATCGAAATGAATAGAAGTAGAGCAACAGAAGTAGCAAAACATTTGAATCGCAATGTGATCACGTGATTTACAGGAACGGGTGCAGCTCAGCAAACCTCCTCGAAATAGCACTCAACGTCCACACGCACACGCGCGCGCCCAATCGCAGGATCTACAGTTCAGCCGCTTTTCGGTGGCTTACAACTGAAGTTTAATCAAACTTATTATTAAACTTCAATTGTTTGCTGTGATGGTCGTTATCACACTCACACAGCTGAACAACATGAAATGAGAGCGAACATGGTGCCCTTCCTGGTTTTGCTGTTTCTCTGTCAACGGATTTCTGCCACCGAAGGTACGGAAGTATTAGGTTAATGTATGTTATATGTGCCGTAAACTGTGACACATCTTTTTTGGTACTGTTCTTTTACACAGAGATTCTGGAAGGAATTTAGCAGGTTTGTTATTGTCCATATTTTAAGGGAGTTTTCTTTACGATGGGAAAATGTTTTATTCTGTTTCTTTAAGTTCCCAAAGAAGTATGATAAATGTTTTTTTATGATAAATTTGTTAATACTTTTAGCTAAATTTTTTATCCATAAATGTAAGTTTACTAACAAAACACCATATTTCTGTCATTATTTTAAGGATGTGGAAATGTACATACATTCAATATCAGACTCCACCAACAAAAATATGGAACGCCAGGACTGCCATAATGAATTAATTAAATACACCATTAAATAATTAATTAAATGTGGCAATAATTAATTAAAAGGAATTAATTAATTAAATAAATAGTTATGACACATGTAATTAATTAATTATTGACACATTTAATTAATTATTTATGTATTTCACATTTTAATTAATTATTGACACATTTAATTAATTATTTAATGATATATTTATTTATTTCATTTTGGCAGTCCTGGCGCCTGGCTCTCATCATGAAATAATTTTATCTGTCAGCCTCACCCATCAAACTCAGGGGGCGGGGTTAACGCTGCCCATGCAGCCCATTCTCTAACATTTGATTGGTTGCCGTGCAAAGTAAGTCAAAACAGGTCGATCCTAGATAATCGATTGCTTGTGTAGACTTGGGGCAGCCAGGTATCCCAGAATGCAGATCAAATCACAAGCAGCAATGGTGGTGGTGTAGTTTTTCTGTCACCAGCTACACTTTTACCAGTGTTTTAAGCCGCGAATGTCGCGACGTATGTCTGGTCAGGTTGTCAACATAGAACATGTTTGCAAAAGTGCTCAGATGTTTTCAGAGATTTCACTAGCTCTGCTAACAATTAGCATGCAGAGTGCACCCAGGGGGTTACGTTAACCGGTTTGTTTACATATTCCACTCTCCGTGTTCCACATGTTGCATTCGCAGATTCTCATTTTCACCGAACGATCGTCTCTTTCCGCCTGGTCTTGTGTCTCTGTGCTTCTGTAACATAAAGAACGAGCTGACATTTTTCTCACGAAACCAGCGATCAGCTCAACAGACCCTCAGTTTACCTGCATGCATCCTCCTCCTCATCTGTCAGCTGTTTAACACCTGCTGCTAATTCAAGAAACACGCCTACGTTACCTGGTGATAGTCACAGTTTAACTGGGCAGCCGGTGCTCGATATAAAGCAATGTCAGCGCATTTTTCTGCACAAGATAAGTAAATATAGTGTTTTCCCCGAGCGCAGAGCTGCTGGAGCTTGTTTCCTTACAGAGCACTTTATAGGCGAACAGCTTCATCAGCGGCTGATGTCCAATCACCGGCACACAGCTTTCAAACCTCAGCTGAGTTTTAGCTCTCAGTGGTTAAACGCTGGACTTCATTCACTCAGGTTCTGTCTGTCGGGTCACGTTTACTTCGCTGTTTTATTTACAACTGAGCAAATCGGTTTGGCTGAGGTTAAAGTTACGTTTCATAACTGCATAGTTTCACAGACGTTTAATGGTTCACTGGCACATGTGTTAGACTGAACTATCATCTAAATATCATCTGTTTTTAATAGTTATTCAACTGTATTCTAAGCACCAGCTGTCTGTTAGAATGTGATTTTTTTTCTCTCTCTGTTGGCAGAGGTATAAAAATGCGCAGGAAAATCTGACGTGCATGGCAACTTCACCGACGATATTTAGGGAGGAATAAACACACATCAAACATAAATGAACCATTTGCCTGTCTCCATAATTGAGAGCATTTTCTCTTCTTATGTCAACACTCTCTCTCTCATTTTTTTTTTTTTTTGCTTTTTCGGTCATGTTATGTTTACCTGTCAAAGGCTTGTTACAAACTATGAAACACATCGTGCAGACTTCTGGATGTTAGAAGAAAACTAATACTGCTCATGAAGGAGACTAAAGGCAGGAAGGTGTCCTTTAAAACTAAACATGTTAATAGGACCTCCCTATTTATATCATAGTTTATGATATAGCACGTGTATTTCAGTAATAGCCTGCTGATTTCAGTGTAGTGGTGAACAGTCGCACAGCTCACGTAGGCTTATCTGTGATACTCCTTAACTATAATTTATCCAAGTTAACTTCAGTTAACCATTCAGACAGTTCTTTTGCAATGAAAAACATAAACACAGCTGTTAACATTATAGCTGCTTATGCAGTAACCATGGTAACCACGGACTCTGAGCGGCTGGATCGACGGAGGTCAGACAACAATTTTACATGTATGATCTTAAAACAGGACACAGCCACTATACGTGCTGGCCTCATATCAAATGTGAAGGCAGACTGAGTCTATGTTTGACGTTTTTTATATCTAATCTTCCTTTTCAAACATTTAAACAGCAGCGAGTCTGCAGCTGAGGGAATACAAATTCAAATTGTCGGAACAGGTTTGCTCGTTTCTTGGATTCATTTGGTGATTTATTAAATGTATAACTGTTATTCTAATCTGCTGCTGAGTCTCTTACACTTTTCTTTATGCTGCTATATTTTCACGTCTCTGGAATAGTTGGCAGTTAGATAGTCAGCTGGGAAACTTTGTGTTAACTCATGGAGCTGAGGATATCGTGGATATGCTGACCTCGCTGCGTGGTGTACAGAGCGAGGTCAGCATGATTAATATTCACAATAAAATATTAGTGAAGTCTGTATGTGTTTCATAGTGTCGAACAACCTTTGTACAGTTAAAGCCAGCAGTTACTACATGACGGAAACACCAACGTTATCTCTTTTATGTGTTTATACACAGGTCACGGCTGATTACTGAACAAAAACCCAAAGATCAGATGTTAAACAGATTTATTTGCTCTCTCTCCTCCTTAAACATGTTTTTAATGTTAGTTATAATTCAGAATTGGCGACTGAAACACGTAGGACACATAAGAACATCAGGAAATAAAACACCGATAAATATAACCTCAGTAAAAGAAGTCAGCGGGGGTTACTACAGCTGTGTACCGGGGCCTGCGCTTTGTCGGTGGGATTGCTTGCGAGGCGAGCGGGTCTATCCCACGCTTTGCCGTGAGACTGGGCAGACATCTCCGAAATCATCGAAGCACTTTGCAAAGAGGCTGTATCTTGACAAACCGACCAGACACATGAAGATTAAACCGCTACATTCTCGGCTAAAAAAATATTAAAACGGTATTTGGTAACACACAAACAGGGTTTTTCAAAGTTCAGTTCTGTTAGCTTCCACATGCCGGTTGTTGTGTGCTAGAAACAATGGCCACCAGGCCAAAGCAATGGTTTTGACTCGATCAGCGTTAACCCCGCCCCCTGAGTTTGATGGGTGAGGCTGACAGATAAAATTATTTCATGATGAGAGCCAGGCGCCAAGACTGCCCAAAATGAAATAAATAAATATATCATTAATAATTAATTAATGTGTCATATTAATTAAAATGTGAAATACATAAATAATTAATTAAATGTGTCAATAATTAATTAATTACATGCGTCATAACTATTTAATTAATTAATTAATTCCAATTTTAATTAATTATTGCCACATTTAATTAATTATTTAATGGTGTATTTAATTAATTCATTATGGCAGTCCTGGCGTTCCATACAAAAAGGCTCTCAAAACAATATATGTATGTGAATTTTTGCGTGTATTCTTATAATTGTTACCTTTTTCTTTTACTCTTGGCTTTTTGTGTTCATGTTCTGTTGTTTTGTATACTTCATCTGTTCGTTATGTGTGCGAGATCTCGCAAAACAAACTCGGGATCTCGCAAAAGTTTAGCCGCATTCTTCGGACGCCGGCTCGAAGCCGACCGGGAGGTCAAGGCATGATGTGCCGGGAAAGCGGTGTTCCTCCCGGCTGTAGTAGGTCTCGACCTCCCGTTAGCTTCGAGCTAACGTACGATCATCCACTGTTATTTATCAGGTTCGCGGGGAGTTGGTTCCCAAACTTATTTTGGTATGTGCTTTTTTTCACGTCACGCTGTGCGCCACGTGATTGTTTACATGAGATGAATTGCAGAATGTAAGAATCATGTGCCTTAACTTGCCTCTTCCAAGCACCAGTTAAGTCGCCTATAGTCTGTTATTAGAGAATGTGACGTTATTCAGTGCTCCTCCCAAAGGACCGTTGAGGCTGTTTGTGTCACTCCACAGAGCTTAGTGGTTCCTCTGGAAGCAGGTAGCTCTGATTGGCTGCTGTTGAAATAATAGCCTTTAACCTCTTCTGGGTTGTTTTCCGCTTTCAGATCTGAAAATTATCACAGCTGAGTCTGGACAAAAGAGCGTCACTCTGACATGTCGAGCTCCAAACAACAGCAAGAACCTGATAGGTGTGGAGTGGAATAGAGCTGACCTGAAAGAAGAATATGTCCTCTTGTATCGGGATGAGCAGTTTGTCCCAGATTACCAGCATCCATCTTTTAAGAACCGGGTGGATCTGAATGACACACAGATGAAGGATGGAGACGTGTCTCTGATTCTGAAGGATGTGATTACTGCCGATGATGGGATATACGTGTGTCGTGTCCTCATCCCAGGAACAAAGCGCAGAAAGAGAACTGCTGAACTGTCAGGAGCATCAGACTGAGTGTTGTTCCTCCAGGTGAGTGAGTAGAGTTGAGTGTGTGTGTGATCAGAGGTGAAGCTGCTTCCTGGTTGTTGATGTTTGTTTCTAAAGATGTTGTTGATGAGACTTTGTAGAAAGCAGCTGGTCTGAGTGATGTGATCAGAGTGCAGTAGATAATGTCTGACAGCAGTTTGAAGAGGAAATGGATTCTGTTCTGTTCTTCACTCATCACCTACCTGACAGCTGACACCTCACACCTGTTTCTCACCTGCAGGTCAGTCAGGAGGACTCACAGAGGATGGAGGGAAGGAGGATGGAGGGAAGGAGGATGGAGGGAAGGAGGATGGATCTGTTGGATTAATCGTCGGTCTGTCTGTTGCTGCTGTCGTCATTGTTGCCACTCTTGCTGGTTTTTTGATCTACAGAAAAAAAAAGAGTCAGAGTCCATACCAGCTTCCAGCTGAGCTGTAGTCTATTTGAAATGTTTCAAAGCTTTTTTTACATCTTAACTGTGAGTCTTCTGTTGCTGTTCCAAAGCTTCAGTGGAGACATGGAAATATGACCTAGCTCCCGAATCTGGGCCCTGCACTATGAAGTGCGTTCAATTAACACCAGGGTACCTTTTCGTCATCTGCATTAATTTACGCTAACATTGGCAATGAGGATGACCAGGTTCACATGAACGGGGTAGCATGGGCGATATCTCACCATCGCATTGATCATTGTAGCCGATTGGCTGATTTCAACATTTTTTTTGTTTTGTTTTCTAAACTATTAGAAAATATGAAGAGGTAACACATAAAACAGAAAAGTAGCACTGCTGCAAACAAGGCAGAGAAGGAGTTGAAAAGCAGTGCATTTCATTAGATTTCATTTTTAGTTTTAAAAGTGCTTTGTATGTGTAAGCTTGAACAGTATTGGTCAGTAAGACTGACCCTTAAAGGCAGGAAGTAAAGACAGGAAAATGGTGAGTGTGTGTGAGCAAGTGGGAGAAGATGTAGTTTTAGTACTAGCAGGCTTTGTAAAGCCCAGAAGTACAAAATGTTTGCAGGCAGAAGGTTAGAATAATTTTTTTTGATTACATTAAAAAAAAAAAAAGCTGCATCGAAGAATCTGTATATATTGCTGATGCTCATTGCGGAAACACAGACTTGTGAAACCTTCTATCCACTTGCACAGGTCAGAGGGATCCTCCAGGAATGATGATGGTAATTTCTGAAGACTTATTGGTCAGAAGCCAGTGATTTCATCCCTGCTGATCTCCAATCTGGATCTTAACCTGATCCGCAGGTATGAAATCACTGCTTTCTGAGCAATCAATTCTCTATGAAATAACATCACCGTTCCTGGAGGACCCCTCTAATCTCTGCACTGGTACTAGGAGAAATTTATCTAGCGTTTGTTTTTCTGATGAGCATCAGTAATAAATACAGATTTTTAGATGCAGCTATTCATTTTGTCCCCCCAGATTAACGATGTACCAGTAAGACGTGAACCATTTTTTTAGTATAGAAAAAAAACAGGTTTAATCGTAAAGTTACCTGGATAGCACAAAATTCTGCTTCTGCTATGTAGAATAAAGCACTTCATGAACTTTTACCATCTACCTAATCATCCTCATCTGACAAACAAACAGCAGAGGTGATAAAAAATGAAAATGGATTTTGGATCCATGAATTTAAGCATTTCCATACTATTGGTGCAATAAGGGTGTGTTAGGCAAAAAATGAAATGAAAAATAAATAAATATAATAAAAACTTATAGAAATTAGATATAAATAAAAAAAAACAGTAAAATATATCAACATAATCATGCATCAGCCTGAACGATGCAATTCATCACTTTGTGTGAGGAGCTGAAAATCCACTAGAGATCTACAGATGTGATGTTTGAATCAGAGAGTTGTCTGATAATGATCCAGAAACCTGGATCTGTCACACTGAGTCAATTAGAATACAATAGCCCTTTGTTGTCATTGTACAATTAAATTGTAAGTGTTCCACGCCAACTGGGAATAAAATATAAATGCTAATAGGAAGGAATAAATTACAAACAAGAGAAATATACATTAAACAATTATTTTCTTTTCAATATGAATGCCATGTTTGAAGCTAAAGCAGGTTTCTCAGCTAAACGTACTATACATACAACGTATACTATATATACAACGTTCTGACTCGTTGACATTCTTGACATTATTTAGCAGTGGCTCACAGTTATTCATAGGTTTAACAATGTTATCTCCCGCTGTCTCAAAAGTTAACACATACCAACTATGCTTATGAAGAAAACCAATTAAAAACCGTAAAAATAATAAATATTAAAAAGTAACATGTATTGAAATTAAAACTAAAATAAATTAAAAACAATAACCCAAAGTACTGAGATCCCTTTGAGATATGGGATAGGCTCCACGTGCTCTTTCTTTCTTTCTTTTTTTATGGTTGTTCATATATTTCATGTTCATTGGCTGTCTTTGTAGATGTTATCTTGGATAATGGAGAAGATTAGCAAAAGTGCATCCTGATTTAAAAAAAAAAAAATCCAATATCCATCTTCCTTCTTCCACTTGTCCAAGTCAGTGTTGCTCAGGGGTTGGAGTTTTCCAAGGTGTGATATGGATAGGTACTATGCTTGTATCTATATTTTGGTTCATTGGCTGTCTCTGTAGATGTTATCATAAATAATGGAGGAGATTAGCAATCTTTTTTTTTTTTTTTTTTTTTTTAAATCAGTCTTCTTCCAACCCTCTCTCAGGGTTGTGAGGGAGGGGGCCTGGAGCCTATCCCAGCTGTCATAGGGCAGGAGGCTCAAATGCACATTGTTTCAGTAACAGTGCACCACTGTTTAAAGAAAATAACATTGGCTTAAACCAAATAAGGATGAAGCAAGGACTTTTGGCAGACAATGAAGGATTTGTGAACAACTGCTACAGCCTTAAAATTTAATGAAGCTCGTTCCAGATTTGTTTAAAATATAAATTTCCCCCATTAAGACTGAATAGGATTAATGTAAAACGAATAAAGTATCCTGCTTATTTTTGACTTCTATCCTGCAAAAGAAAACCTAAATAAATAAATAATAATATAACACAGTTCCTGATGTTTGTTGTCTGTTTTCCTGCTTTGGTTCTTTACTCTAGAAGTGAATTTGACATGTTCAACATGTTCATGCGGGTCTAAGAGAAGCTGCAGCACTAAAGGTTTAAAGATAATTGATCGCGCCTCTCCCTGAGCCTAATTCTGCTGGAGGTTTCTTAATGTTAAAAGGGAGTTTTTTCTTCCCACTGTTGGATAGAGGATAGAGGAGGGACGTTTACCATACTGTAACTTTGAAAGTATTTGTTCCTGTCATTCAGGGAAGTAAAATTTTCTGTAATCAATAAAGGGGAAAATCTGCTGTTGCTGTTAAAGGAACTTTAGTCATATTAGTGCTATAACAGCAGCTACTCAGAGACTGAAACCCCAGAGCAGACGCAGCACACAGATCTCTGATAAAACTGGCCGTGAGAGTGGAAACTTTGAATGTCAAATGTGCAAAGTTTCCGCTCTCATGTTTCCTCTGGTGGCTCTGTGAAGTCATACCAAAAACACCAAATGAGTTTAACTGAAGCTGTTTGAGAGTCAGGGGACTTCACTGGTTATTGTCAGTTATTATGAAATAAAACTCCAAGAGAGGGAAAAAGAAAGTTATGCAGTAAGTTTTGTTTCACAAGAATCGAGAGAGAGCGAGAGAGAAGACCACGCCCACTAGCAGTTTGTTTATCAGTGGAAAGTTTTCACAATTTGTCCTGGTATTTTACTCGTTCGAGGCATCTTAATGATATAAAGATCACTGTCCATGAATCAGATGGATAAACAGGTTTTTCTCTGTTTAATATGCAGATAAAAGTGAGTCACTTAAAACAAATGACCTCATTACAAATGAACCAGCTGGAGCTTTGGGGCCCTCTGGAGGTCTGATTTAAACACAGAGGCTGCTCTTATGAACACGACACGTATCTATTCATGGACTTCTAATATTTATGTTATGTCTTTAATAATATTTATAAACCAGAGTGTTGACTGACAAGTGGAGTGTTTGAATGTGTGTATGAAATATCAAGAAGCATTAATCAGCGCTGACTCACACATACACCCTGTCTTATCATAACCTGAATTCGGTTCAGCCCTTCCGTGGAAACGTATAACCTTCATTTGTATGTTTGTCCCTAACAGTCGGAGCAAATATAGAAAAACAGCTTTAAACACGTTCCTGGATTCATCTACAGCAGAGCTGAAGCTGGCTGAGCTGTTACTGGAATTCAAAGAACTGAGAAACACGTGTCCTGCACATGTTACTGTTAATCTGGATAATTTTCATTGATATAATTGGTGTGACTGCTTATAATATTTAGTGTCTGCTGGCTCTTTGCAGAGGGCACAGCAGAAGAAGCCCATTTTCTGTTTAATATTCACTGATTGTTTAACTTCTCTGATGTTTATTGATCCACTGTAATGTAGATTGTTTGCTCTCTATCAGCTCATATTTACAATTTTTATCATTTTCGGTTTTTTCCCTCTCATTAAAGGTCAGAGGTCACAGTGAACACCTTCACGTGTTATTGGTCGGACAGAATCTCCTGTGCTGCCACCTGCTGGTGATGAACTGTCAGAGGGCTTCATACACCAATCACTATAAGCATGTTATTCAGTTATAACCTTAATGACATAAACTACACACACACACACAAAACAGAAAAACAAAAACAAAAAAACCTACATGAATATGAAAGGGGTCTGAAAGATGTCAAGGACTTTTTTTTTACTACTGAATGGAAACTTATTACTATTCACATCGTGTGAACAGAATCTGAAGCTCAGTGATATATTTTGTTCATGTTTGACCTGTTTGTGTATTATAAGTATTTCATTTTGTTTCAACATCATGCATTTTTCTCCTCTAATAACAGGATCAGACGAGTTACTGAAAAGCTGTTGTACTCTAAGCCAACAATGGGAAACAGATGTATCTTTCATTT